GGAGGGAGGGAGGGGATCTTTCCCGGCTTGACCCGCCAGGCTTTCTTCCAACCCAGGTCAGATTTAGCACCTTTCCTCCTGGACTTGGGTGGCTGCTGCTGGTCACCCAGAGAGACCCGGTTTCTTCTCAGGAGCCAAAACCTTTTAGCTCTTCCTCGCCCTGATTCCCGCGCCTGGCAGTAGATCCAATTGGGCACCTTGTTACAGAGCGGAGACCTTTGGTGGGCAGCTTTTCTGATCAGAATCCTTGTTTGGAGAGCCGGGGGGGGCGGCGGGATGGGGGACCTGCCTTCTTGAAGTGGCTGCTGCCACCGCATGGAAAAGTGGCATTCCTGCCCCCTCCTCTCTCCAGCTCCCATGGCAACCCTGCTTTTCTTAACCTGCTTGCCTTGACCAGCCTACGGATCTGCCAGTTGAATAGCCAAGCGTGTGGTTTCTGGCGTTGGCTGCACAGCTGCGAGGCTGGCAGTGAATGGGAACTGGGCGGACACGGGGCTCTCCCTGCTGTTCCTAAAAGGCTCGGCCGCCTCCTGCCGCCTCCAGGGCTCCCTCCCTGCCAGGATCTCTGAGTGGGTCGTCCTCTGAAGTAGGCAGTTTCCTGCGGGCCAGCTGCCCTTGCCCTCTTGATCCAGGCCTCGAGGGAGCAGCCCACTCCTGTTTCTGGAAGGGGAGCAGCCCCTACTGGCTGGACCTCGCAGAGAGGCCCGGAATGCCAGCAAGACCTGGCTGAGGCTTCTTCCCACAGGGCATCCTTTTGATGGCCAAAAATGCAAAAAGAGTGGGTGGAAGAATAGGTCTTTGGGGTGTGTGTGTGTGTGTTTGTGTGCTGCAAAGGGTGCAGAGACCCCCTGAAAAAGGTGGCTCTCAGCTCCTTGAGGCCCATTGACTAGGAGCGAAATTGGACAGGGAGCCGTCTGGGGTTGGGCTCACAAAACGAGCAGTGTCCCCCCCCCCCAGACCACACCTTTGAGGCAAAGAGTAGGTCGGGATCATTACCAGCGGAAGGCCTGGCCTGTCAGATGTTCCTCATCTTTGGAAATGCCTCACTGGCTGAACTCTTAGTCACATCACTGCCTGGCAGCGCACAAGCCCGGTCAGGAAACAGGGCGGGGTGGGGGGGCATTGGTCCTGACTTCACCAGGGCTGCTTCCTGACGAAGCCCAGGCTCCATCCCCCTTCTTCCAGTTAACTCACTGCGTGGTCAGAGGCAAGGCCACCCCGTGGCGCCTGCGGGCAAGGGGAGAAAAACGCAGAAGAGCAGACAATCCACTCTCCTGACTCGGGAGACCTCCCTGGGTGTCGGGCTACACCTTATGCCAGGAATCCCAGTCTGGCACATCTGGCTGGCAGCTGGGGATGTGAAGTGCATGGGGGCCCCCTTTGAACTGGATGCCATAGTGGAACACTCCCTGGGGCTGTGATTATGAGGACCGAGGGGGAGTTCTGCCATGAAGTTGCATTCAGTGAACTGGGGACTGAATGGGAGTCCTTCTGGAACGGTCAGGCCTGTGGCCGGAAACTGGTGGGCTGTGTTTAGGTCCCTGCAGGGGATGACCAGGGGAGCCTCCTTCCGTGGCCCCGTGAGTGAGATCTGGCAGCCACTTCTATGGCCCTGGCTTCTCGGCTTTCTCTTTGGGGGCTAAGGAGGCTCTCCTCTTTCCCAGAGCTCCATCCAGATTATCTTTGAAGAGATCCCACAGCAACTTCCAGCTGTCAACATCAGTCGTGTGACCTGCATGGATCAGTCGGAGTGCAGGATGGTAAGCAGCTGTGTTTCTGAGACTTGGTGGGGTCTTTGTCTTCTGCTGACTGGAATGGATTCTATGTTCCCTGGTCTGTTTAGGTACAATATCTACGTGCAGCTCCTAAGGGCAAAAAGCCCTCACAAAGTACTCCAGGGTTAAAATAACCAGATGCACACAACTGCAGAACAGTACAGTAGGACTAGACTATCTAACGATTTATGAAACAAGAGTAAAACAGGAGGAATATTAATTGCAATTCAGACCAATAGGGTTGTTAAGAGCAGACTAAGAGAGCCGGGTCTTTGAGGCCTATTTAAACCTCACCGCTGGAGCTGTCAGCTCCACATCCAGGGAGAGAGAGAGAGATGGAGCTTAGCCAACCTCCCCAGGAGGCCTCAGGAGAGTGTTGGAAGAGTTCATGAGCCAATGCTTTGAGACCACGTCTCACCATCCCAAGCGCCTGCTCTGTTCTGCTGACCTAGCTGGGTCTGCCCTGCCTTTGAAAGGAAGCCACCAGAACCCCAGGCGTGGTGCATTCTGTGTATGCCCGGAGGAGCCAGTGCTCTGCTTTTACCATCCTTCTTGCATTTTGTTACCCTGGGGCTGATGTGAGCTTCTGGGGTTTAACCCTGGTTGCTTTGGCTCAGCTGAGGCCCTGCACATGGTCACCAATCAGCAGGAAGACCTCCGTGGCAGGCAGCAGCCCTGATCAGAGAGAAGCAGGAGAACCAACAAAGGAGCAAAGATCACAAGGCCTTGGAGCAGCAGGTGGGTGCCGGCGGGGTGCCTGCCCTGTGGATCAGAGAAGCCGTGTACCATCCCCAGAGGGAGCTGTTCTGTGCCAGATCTGGGCGGCTGGTCCACAATGAATGAGCAAGGGTAGCAGCAGCAGGAGGAGGAAGAGGAAGAAGAGAAGAAGCCAGGCCATCAGCTGCAGACCTCCAACACAGGGCAGGCTTTAGACAGGGATCCAGGAGAGAATCAACTCAGGAACGTCAGCTGGTATAGGAAGCACATGCACTTGGAAGACATGGTCCTGACTAAATAGACAAAAACTCACAGGGGATTCCTCAGAAATACGTCAAAGTGTTTGCACCAACAGAGGGAAGGTCTGGAAGAAGAACAGGGTGCTTAGGGTTCCCTTACAGCAAAGAGGCATTCGGGAGGGTTTGCTCAGGGCTACCCTTGATAGATGAGAGCAATGGGGGAATGAAACATCCCAACTGTTAGAGCAGTGCGACAAGGGGAGCTGTGACCTCGGGAGGTGGTGAGCGCTCCAAGAGAACATTGGGCAGCTGTCTGTCAGATCTACTTTGACTGGTATCCTAGAGGGTTGGACTCGATGGCCCTTCCCACCCACTCCGTGATCCCCAGATTCTGCCTTTGACCCGTTACCCGTCGGGGCCATGCCAGGAGGACCAGGATGGGGGTTCTCCCTGCCTCTCCTGCAGTTTCATGGAGCTGGAAGGGTTCTCGGCAGCTGCCGAGTCCAGCGGCCACTGAGGTGGTTGGTGAAACCTCTCCAGGGCAGCCCCAAGAGATGGCCCTGGGTCTTTCTCTTCCATCTGGAAATGGAAGCTGCTGGACGGGTGCAAGGCTTCTTCTCTGTAGCTGCTGTGCTTTGGAGGTCCTAAAAAGAGGAGGTGGGCTGGGTTTGAGAAGGGCCATCAAGTGACCCCCACCCCCAGCGAAGGCTTCCCTGAGCCCTTTTGTCTCTTCTGCTTGTTTCTCTTTGTCCTGCCTTTGGACTTTTGTCTCCCAGCTCCCCCCCCCCCGCTCTGACCACCTCTCCTTCCTCCCCTCTCCTTGCAGCTGCTGCGATGCCACCTTTCGGCCGATGCAATGCAGTTCCCCGTCTCGGTCACACAGCAGAGTCCGGCGGCTGTTTCCATGGACACCTACCAAGTCACTCTGGCAGTGGTGCGTGCGCAGGTAAGAGATGCAGGAAGTGGCGGGCTGGGAACACTTTCCCTGAACCCCCTGCCTCAATCGAGCATGTCCAGGCACCAGAGTTTGCTCTGCCCTTTTTTAAGGCCAGCAGAGGGGAGAGCCGCCTGGCAGGGCCTGAGCGCAGGGCCTTGACCCCGAGAGGCGATGCCTGTCCCTTGGGCTGCTCACCACTGCCGTTGCCCATGTGCTCTGAGCCGATGGTTATAGCTGATCACGGTCAGCCTGCTGTTGGTTGGCAATTGTTTTGAGCCTTGCGATCCCAACAGACTGTTCTCTTTCCTGATGTAGCTGGAGATTCACCTGGAGGAGATCCAGGACGGAGGGCTGCTGGTCTCCTGGGCTTTCCTGGACAGGCCAGACTTGAGTTTGATGGTGGTGCCAAGGCTGCAGCTGCGTGAAGTGAGTGAGCAAGACGGGGTGGTGGAGGGAAGCTCACTCACCCATGCTTTTTTGGGATTGGGGGAGCAAGAGGAAGCTGCAGGACGCTACTGCCCACCTCAGCTGCTTTGCTGGGGGGAAATGGCCCATGGTGGGCTTCCTTATGTGGGTGCAAAGGACAGGGGGGCTCTTTCGCACAGTCACCGTTGGACTGAGTGCTGGCTGATCTCATCGTTGGGAGGTATGCCTCTCAGGCAAAGCTACGTGGGGCAGCCATGGAGCTGGCCTCGGCAGGAGCGACAGGTGCTTCTCTATCTCACCAGAGAGCCACAAGTCTCGGAAAGTTACCAATGCAGAGATGGGGGGGTGGTGGTCATATGGATGCTGTGCCATGCAGAAAAACAAGGCCCAAAGGTGGGGCAGAATGGGCTCTTGACAGAAGCTGCCACGTGCCATAGAAGCCACTGGGGGTGGTTATGGAGGCTTGTGGCTTTTAAACGGCCTTCAGGGGCTACTGAACTTTCTACCCTGGAGATGCCTGGTGACTTGACATGCCTGATTCCTCCTCCTCCTCCCCCCCCCCCCCCCCCCGCAGGAGAATGATGGAAAAGTGGATCTGTCCACCATCAAGGAGTTGCTGGCAGACTCGGTGATCAGCACGCAGCCGGCCATGATGGTGAACCTGAGGGCCTGCGTAGCGGGAGGCAACCTGGTGAGGAAGGGATGCTGTGTGACTGCCAGGCTCCAGGGGCAGGGGTGGGTAGTGGGCCCCTCTAGCCCTGGGAAGGAACCGGCTGATTATTGCTGAGTGGCACCCCTTGACCTAGGAGGCCACCACTGGCTGTGGAGATGGAGCCTGTCCCTAGGTGGTCTTCCGCCCCCCCCCCCCGTATGTGTGTGTGTGTGTATGTGTGTGTGTGTGTAAAAAGATCGGGTATAACAAAAGAGCGATGCATTTAGGATTTCAGAATGGCCAGACCCTCTTTGCCTGTCTCAAGGCTACGTGTGGCATCTGTGGTTCATCTTCTCAGGGTGTGGGTGGGTGGGTGTTTGCCCACCTTGCTCATTGGCCTTCTTTGGGGTCCTCCTCCACAGACAGCTGGCAGCAAGCCACTCCCAGGCCCTTCTTCCAGCCCAGCCACTCCCAAGGTGCCCAGGCTGCTTGTCCAGAACCTGCGAGCCCTCCACCTGGGGGCCGAACAGCTCCGAGGTACAGCCCGGGGAGCAGGAGCCTGTCTGCAGGGCGCCAGGGGAGGAGAGGAGGGGATGGCTGGCCTTGTGGGAAAGGAAAGCCCGCCTTGCCGGTCTCTCGGTCTCCCCTGCAGGACCCAGGGCACTGGGGGCCTCTGACCCGGGTGCATGGCTGGGACTCTGGGCCCTTTTCAAAGCCCCAGGGGCCCAAGGGAGAGCTGGAGAGACGTGGGCTGGGGGAGGGTCACTTCAAGCAGGAGAAATGCTTTCCCAGCTCAGGGGCCGTGGGGACATCAGCAGAGATCTGGGCGGGCAGGAGACCCAAAAGTCCACATCTCTGCTGCTCCGTGGGTGGCCTTCCTGGGTCTCACCCCCCCCCGCCTGTAGAAGGACCGGCCCTGTAGGGCTTTGAGGAGAATGACCAGCACCGGTTGGGTTAGGCTTCCCGGAGGGGACCAGTCCCTTTCACAGGAAGACTTCTGCTCAGGGAGTCGCTCAGCCGTATTGCGCCCATCAGAGGACCTGGTTCTGCTCTGTCCCCCCCCCTTCAGGAAGTCGGCAGCTGTGCTGCCTGGTGGAGGTGGACAGCCCTCGGCAGCAGAAGAGGACAAAGCTGGTGCCAGCCGGTGGATTGGGCCCTGCGGCTGAGGTGGAGTGGGATGACAGACTTTTCCTGTAAGGGATGCTGTTTTTGCCTCTTTGGTCTTCATGGGGCAGCAGGGTGGCAGTGGGAGCTGAGAGAGAGAGAGAGAGAGGGAGGGAAGGAGAGGGAGAGAGAGGGAGGGGGAAAAGGGTTGGGAAAGGAAGCGCCGGCCCTGGGCTGGGTCATACTCAGTTGCCAGGGAAGCTTCCTGACCAGGCAGCGTGTGCTGGCTTTGTTGGGACTACGTCTCCCGAAACATCCCAGCCATGGGCCGTGCTGGCTGAAAGGTTCTGGGAATTGTAATCTCTCTCTCACACACAAAAGAGACCTTTCCCAGTGTGTGTGTGTGCATGCGCGTGCACCCTCCAGTCCACCCCCTTATCCTGAGGAGAATTGCCCACGAGGGGCCCCTCCGGGCCAGTCCTCGGCCTCAAGGCAGGCAAGGGCAGCGTTGGTGCCTGCCTTGGGGAGACGGCCGTGGATGGCAGGAGGTCAGTGGGAGGGAGGGAAGCCCCGGGCAGGACCTGCCAAGGGGGGAACCATGGACCCTTCCTCGTCTGTCCCCAGGGAGCCCAGTCCTCAGAGCAAAGAGCTGAAGCTGAGCGTCCTTTCCTGCAACTCCAGCACCGGGGAGGGTAAGTCCCTTCCAGGGCAGCTGCAGCTGGGGAGGGGGGTGGGTGGGCAAAGCTGGACCTGGGAATGGGGTGGTCAGGAAGGGGAGACCCTGCCTGCTGCTTGCCTTTGTGTTGAGCTGGGGTGTTCCTTTCCCGAGAAACCTGTAACCTGGGAGTGGAGCTGTTGCCTGACCCAAGAATGGGGGGGGGGCCCTAAGCTGGCCTTCCTTGTCGGAGAAGAGGCTTTGCTTTGCTTATCGCTGCCTTCCTGTTGTTGATTGTCTCTCTTCCCCCCCCCTCCCTTCCTCTCTCTCTCAGAGGTGCTCTTAGGATTCGCCGCTGTTCCTCTGGCCTCCCCATCTGCAGAGCTCAAGAGACATCAGCTCTGCGGGTTAAGCTCTGGGCCCCTCACAAAGCTGCCCCCGGCGGCAGCCCTCTCAGTGGAGGTGAGAGGACGTGCGCCTGTGGGCGGCCAGAGACCCAAACGCCATGCAGGCAAGGGAGGCCAAGCGCTCCCGGCCTTCCGCCCCAGAGCAGGCGAGTCCTGGCTTCTGATGCCTTCCAGAAGATCGCCTGCCCCAAGGGGGAAGCCAGCCCTACCTGCGCCAGCCCAAACCTCCCCACCTGATGGGTTTCTCTGTGATGGTTCTGGCAGATGCTCTACCAAGAGGTTCTGGAGGGCCAGGCGGGCTCTTCGCTGCGCCCCAGCATCACCCCCACCAAGAAGATCGAGATGGACCGTACCATCATGCCAGACGGGACCATCGTCACCACCGTCACCACCATCCAATCCAGGCCCAAGATGGACTGCAAACTCGGTAAGCCAGCCTGGTTCCCCCGGCCGAGGGATCTGCTCGGCGTCTCTCTAGCCAGGCCCAGGGCTGCGGGAGGCTCAGCTTTCGCCTGAAAAGGAGGACGGGCACCCCAAGGGGGAAGCGGCCAACCTTCACAGGGGCTCTCGCCTTCCCTTGAATCCATGAGATCCTGCTGCCCCCCTCCCCTCAGGGACGTCTTCGAAGCTTGCCCGCCTATTCTTAGAAGGCTGCGAGGTGGGGCAGGGAAGGGGTGCATTTGGGGGCAGGCGGGCAGGCTGTCCCTCGGGCCGTATGTCACTGATCTTGCCTTCCCCACTCCGGAGTCTAGATTCCCCCTCAAGGTCTCCATCCAAGGTGGAAGTGACGGAGAAGGTAACCACGGTGCTTCCGGAGAACAGCTGTCCCAGCAGCGCTTCCCCCACCAGCAGCCGTAAGTGGGCCGGCAGCAGCAGCAGCAGCAGCTGTGGGTGGGTGCTCTCCGTGTCCAAGCAAGGAAGAGCGACGGGGGTGGCGTGGCAGTGGCCACCCCGGCCTGGCTCAGCCTTAGGCACCAGGCCACCTGCTACAGTGTTGAAAAAAATAGCTCATTACATTCCGTATCATGGGAAAAGTAAGTTTTTGTATCACACGTTCTGCCACTTGTTACTTCACTCTTAATTAGAATGGCACAAAATGTGAGAAATTGCTTAAAGTGCTCTTTAAAAGTAACTTTGGAAAGTGACAAGGAAATACTGCTAGTTACAACTGCGAAAGTATCATCAATGTTCCTTATTACATACCTTGTGAAGTGTAAACAGGGTTATGCCACCCCACCCCAAAAAAGAGAATTGTTTTGGGATTTTTCTGCAGATAAACTGTATCTATATCAGTGGCAGGCTGCAGCTAATTTACAAGGTGCTTGGTCACCTGCCAGTCATGGGATGAGGAATGAAACCAGGTATGTGACCAGCACTTTGTTAATTAGCCGCAATTCATCACCATGACTTTCACTTGCTCTGGAGTGAAATCCCGGCATGGCCAAGCTCTGCCGATAAGTGACATCTGCAAGCCCGGGTGAACGGTAGGTTTGTGCCCCTTCGGGCTGGCGGCTTGTGGCAGCCAAGGTCCCTCCAGAGCCTCTTCTCCCTTGAAGAAGGCAAGGGGGGAGGAGGAAGAGCACGGCGCCCCTCAGAGGGAGGGGTGGGGTGACCGTGCCCTGAAGGGAAGCTGTTGCTGGAGCCGCTCAAGTCAGCCATCTCTCTGTGTTGACCTCCTGGAGGTTCAGGCCAGAAAGGCCACAAAGGCCTCAGGGACCTTTTTTCCTGTCCTCATGCAGGGATCAATAGGGTGCCTGCTTTCCCTCTGCCTGCCTGCCTGCCTGCCTGTTTACTAATTATGTCTGTTCCTCTCTGTGCCTGTATTTGCAGGAAGCAGCCACATTTCCAATGGCCTGGACCCCGTGGCTGAGACGGCGATCAGGCAGCTGACAGATTTGACCAATAAACCTGCCAAGAAGACCCCGACCAAGCGCAGCACGCTGATCATTTCAGGGGTATCTAAGGTAACGCGTGCTTTGCTTGATTGGCACGGGCAGCTTCTTCCTGGGAAGGCCATAAGATGAGCAGAGTCAGGTCAGGCACGCATCCAAGAATCCCTGTTTTCTCACGCCTGGCCCTTCTGCCCTCCCTCCCTCCCTCCCCCAGGTCCCAATTGCTCAGGATGAGATGGCCCTCTCCCTTGGCTATGCTGCCTCGCTGGATGGCACCCTGCAGGATGACTCCATCTCGGCCGGCATGTCGGAATACGCCCAGCGAGCCCATGGCTTTGCCCACCCTGCTCAGCAGCTGGACACCTCCTACGCCCCCCAACGGGCCAGCCAAGAATTGGACGAGACGACCCGCTCGGACATCTCAGAGAGGGCCTCAGTGGATGATGTGGAATCGGAAACAGGCTCAACAGGGGCTCTGGAGACCAGGAGCCTAAAAGACCACAAAGGTGGGGCTCCTCGCAGGCTTACCAAGCACCTCTGGGTGGAGGTGGGGGGAGCTGCCTCCTGCTGGCCTGGTTTCGAGACCTGCTGCTCTCTCTCTCTCTCTCTTTCTCTCTCTCTCTGGTGCCAGTGTCCTGTGCTTTCCTGGCTGGGCACTCTGGGCTCCTTGTGCCTCATCTCCCTCTCTCTCATTCCGCAGTGAGCTTCCTTCGGAGCGGCACCAAGCTCATCTTCCGCAGGAGGAACAAGCAGAAGGAAGCTGGCCTCAGCCAGTCGCACGACGACTTGCCGAACACGAGCGCTGCCAACGGCACCAGGAAGAAATCAGGCAGCTTCTCTCGGCGCCTCATCAAGCGCTTCTCCTTCAAGTCCAGGCCCAAGGCCAAGGCCAACGGGAGCACGCTGGCTGTGGAGAAGCCCTGAGCGCCCGCTGGGGGAGCCGTGTCCTCTGGAAGCCCCTTCCGCTGATGCTTCCCCTGCTCCGTCTCTCCACACCACCCCGGCTCCTCTTCCCTCCCATGCAAAGGGAGCGACGACGCAACTCCGGGATTTGCCTGGCTGGTCGGTGTTTGACCTGTGGTGCTTTTGCTTGGTGCGGACTGGGAACGCCACGGCTCCTGGCCCCCTTTGGTAGCTGGCCTTTGGGGTGCGGTGGGGAAGGAGGCACCCCTCCCTGGTCACTTTCAGCCCTGACGTCTTGGAAATGCATGAAGGAGAGGGGTCTTTTTTAATGGTGGCTTAAAGACTCCTCCCCATGTTCTCTGTGTATATGTGTCTGCGCGTAAGACACTGAGGGAGGGGGCAATACACTGGCTTATTCTGAGCAGCTGGCCTTTGCCACTTTTGCTGCAGTGGCCAAATTTAGGTCAACTCCGGATGAACTTCTGGGCCTTCCAGTGGCTTCTTCTTCCCCCAAGGGAAACCTTGTTCCCCCCCCCCCGGCAGGGCCCAGCCAACATTGCCTTCTAGCAACCAGAGACGGTGGATTCCCTCTTCTTCCTCCCCCTTCTCCCCTCCCCCGGGCCCATGGACATGAGAAGAGAGGCTGCCGGAAGCTTCTCTGGGGAGCGGGGGGGGGGCTCTGCCTCCTCTTTCCAGGAAAAGAAAAAAGAGGTTCCTCTTCCTGTCCGTTGACTTCTGGAGGTAAATGGGGCTTAGCCTCTGTGGATGGACCACTGCTCAACCACTTGCCCTGCCTCAGGGCTCGGAGGAAGGAGAGGCGCCATCGCCCCGTCGTCGGAAGGCTTCTGTCGCTCTTCGCAAAGCATTTTTGGCATCCCCAGCCGAAGCCCCGCTCCCTGGAACGAACACCAGGGAGCCCAGCTAAGGAATCCAGCTGGAAGCCCTGGGGGATCCTGACAAGGCAATGTATGGTGTGTGAACGTGTGTGTTGAGGGATGGGGACCAATCCTGCTGAGCCTGGGCTGGTCCCTCCCTGCAGGTTGTTGAAAAGGGATAATGGAGGAG